TTGTTTATGTAATAGGTATGAACTATAGATGTAGATATAATAAACTCTTAGTTTTTGAACTATAGATCACATAGTATATCTTGCTCACAGGTTTTACTGTGAATGGTACAACTGGATGTTTGTTGTACTGACAATTACAATGAAATAGTCAAGCAGAAAAAAAAAAAATTCAGTTGCCCTTACTATCTTCATCCATCCTACAAATACTAAACTGAGCCAGGTGTGGCAGCACATGCCTGTAATCCCAGCACTTGGGAGGCAGAGGCAGGAGGCAGGACTGCTGCAAGTTTGAAGCCAAAATGGGCTATATAGTATCAGGGACAACCTGAACTACACAGTAAGATCCTATCTCAAAAATCCAAAAAGGAAGAACCAGGGAGATGGCTCAGTGGAATAAATGCTTCCCTGGCAAGCTCAAGGGTCTGAGTTCCGTCCCCCATTCCACAAAAAAAAAAAAAATCAAAATATTCAAAAAGGAAAAACAAACAAACAAAAACCCAAACATAAACTGCTAGATTGGCTATGCATTCAGCAAATTGCTGAGTATATAACCTTAAATAAAAGTGTTGATAGGGGGGGGCTGGTGAGATGGCTCAGTGGTCTAAAGCGCCTACTTAGAACAAGCTTAGCAAAGCGGTTCAATCCCCCAGCACCACATGTCAGCCAGCCCCGCCCCCTGGTGGGCCGAGCTGGCCATACACACACACACATACACACACACACACAAATAAATAAATTAAAAAGTGTTAATATGGAAATTACACTGAAGTGTGGGATACACCAAGGAGATACTAAGAAATACACGAAGAATAGTATCTTGTCAAAAGTGCTATGGTGGCAATAAGTAGAACAATATTAAATTTAAGAAAAATAATGATTTTGAGCTGGGCATGTTAGCACATGCCTGTAATCCAAGCATCTGGAAGGCTGAAGCAGAAGGATCACTGTGAGTTCAAGGCCAGCCTGAACTGCATTTTTGAGATCTTGTCTTAACACCCTCCAAAAGATTTTCATTTCATTCTTTAAAAATGTATTTGTACCTACTTTTATAAATTGATAATGAGGGGCCGGGGAGATGGCTCAGTAGGATAAGCGCTTGACTGGCAAACGCAAGGATCTAAGTTCAATCCCCGGTTCCGCCAAAAAAAAATAAAGAAAAATAAATTGATAATGAACTAACTGTACTTTTTATTTTTACATATTTTGGCCTGAGAATCAAACTCAGGACCTTGCTAGTGAGACGCTGTGCTGCTAAGATATCTGCCTGGCCCTTCATTTCATTCTTGAGTATAACTTTCATTGAACATGGTCAAAAGTAACAAGTAAAAAAACTATGTTAACAATGTTGAAGTCAGGGTTTCAAAAATTATCAGTGTGTCAAGCATAAAATCTGATACTAAAAATTATCAAGTATTAAATACTTAAAAAGAGATCTAATTAATTTGCACAGTATAGTCACCCTATGAAAGTGGATACTTACTATGTATTTCCAAAGCTTATTCCAACCCATTTCTTCTTTTATATTCTGAAACATCTTCATTATGTTGTTTGATGAGCTACAAATTAATAGCTAAAATTAGAAAGGTAATCTTTCTGACTACTTAAAGGGGAGGAAACTAAGTAAGGATACATTTACATGTGCAAAATAGGGCAGATTAAAGTAATTACTAATTTAGTTAGATGTAAAAAGCTATAGGATTCAAAAGTCCAAAACAGAGGGGCCGGGGAGATGGCTCAGTAGGATAAGTGCTTGACTGGCAAGCGCAAGGACCTGAGTTCAATCCCTGGTTCCACAAAAAAAAAAAAAAAAAAAAAATTACTGCATCACTAGGTGTGGTGGTGCATGCTTGTAATCCTAGGCCTGTAATTCCAGCATTTGGGAGGCTGAGACAGAAAGATTTTAGTGAGCTCAAAGCCAGCCTGAACTGCATAACGAGACCCTGTATCAAAAAGACAAAAATAAAAAAAAATGACTGCATGGGGGGGTAATAAATAATATCCCCGGTTCTGCAAAAACAAATAAATAAATAATATCACTTCTCCATGCTTTGGGTTAAGATGAAGGTAGTATTACCGAAAGTCTGACTGCATAGGGAGTAAAGCTACACAACAGAGTGGAAGTTGGTAGGTAATAAATATTACCGAAAGTCTTACTGCATAGGGAGTAAAGCAACACAACAGAGTGGAAGTTGGTTATTATCCAGCTGGCTGCTACAGGCTACACTCCTAATCTTAGATGTGTGAGACCATGAGTGACCCCGTCTCCCAACTATTTGAGTATGGACTTGATGCCAGAGACAGCTACTTTCCTAGAATTGTTGTCTGGCACAATCTGCAACTGAAACAATGGTTGAGACATGATGACTGTCCAGCTGATTGAAGTCCCAAGTTTAATCACTGGGGCTTTCAGCAGCAATCAAACTTCTTTTAGGAAAAACCTTGAACTATGAGTGTGTACATTTTCATTCTAACAAGTATTTATAGAAAAGCAGCAGTTACTGTTAAATTGTAAGCAACATCCAATGGTCTCTTATCCTTTCCAGGTCAAAGATCTGAACCACTTTAAAGAGAAATCCAAATAGGAGACCAAGAGCTGGAGCCAGGAGGCAATGAAAGAAACCCAAATGTGTTATATATGAAACAACACAGATACTTTTAGCCAATTTTTTTTAAATAATGTATTTAGGGGGCCGGGGAGATGGCTCAGTAGAATAAGTGCTTGCCTGGCAAGTGCAAGGGTCTGAGTTCAATCCCCCGTTCCACAAAAAAATAAAATAAAATAATGTATTTAGGACAGAGTTTTACTAGGTAGATCAGTCTCATAGTGATCCTCCTGTTTTCAGGCTCCCAAAGCCTGGGATTACAGGCACAGGACACCACACCCAGTCTCAGCATGTACCGGTGGTGGGCCAGCACAGCATGCACCTGCAGCTGCAGCTGCTTTCTGCCTAAGCAGGTGCTGTAGTCCACTGAGCCCTACTTTTTTTTTTTTTTTTTGGCGGAACTGGGGATTGAATTTAGGCCCTTGCACTTACTAGGGAAGCGCTTATTCCACTGAGTCATCTCCCCGGCCTGGCCGGCCCTACTTTTAGTCAACTTTAATCAATAACTTTCTCTAGAGAAGCAATGCTTCACAGAGGTCTATAGTATAGTGTGGTCTCTGAAGTGGAGGGATCAGGGTTCTACAAATTAAATGTTTCTTCATGTATTCATTTAGAAAGAGCCAACAATAGTTGTATGTGCACATCAGAACTTTGAGTTTACATGTAAAACACCTGACAAAAGGATAATAGGAACAAACAACCTAGTAAGCAAGAATATAATTTCCAAAAATGTATTTATACCAAATATTGATTAAAACCTAACGTTTCAGAGGTTCAACATCAAATCTGGGCAACTGATTTATTCCAATGGTGCCTTCATAAAATAAAAGGAGGGGTTGGGGAGATGGCTCAGTAGAATAAACGCTTCCCTGGGGCTGGTGAGATGGCTCAGTGGTCTAAAGCACCTACTTAGAACAAGCTAAGCTCAAGCAAAGCACAGAGACCTCGGTTCAATCCCCCAGCACCACATGCCGGCCCGCCC